TAGTAGTAGTAGTAGCAGCAAGAGTCTGTCGATTGATTGATCCAGAGAAAGTAGGCAAAGGCAGAGGCACCGAACTGGTGAAGCGGGCTCAGTCTTCACTGTCAGTGTACTCAACCACAACAAGCCAGGTGTAACAAGCCACTGAGTCATGGCAAACGGGCGAGGAACCGGCCAGCCCAACTCGATTTTGTGCTTCTGAGTCTCTCCTGCCGACCATGTCTGCGATCATTTTGTCAAGGGCAAATATCAACCAGCACAGCTGAAGCTTACACCCAGGATCATCTATGTTTTTGCCATCCTCTTACGGCAACTGACGCAGAGCAGGGCGCACAATCCGGTTGAACTGGTGTGCTGCATCAGCTTCAGTTCGTAGCATTTGTCCCGCGAGGCCACGATGTTGGACCAAAGTACTTCTCCTCAGTGTCTCATTCCATGATGACTCTTTTGCGGGACCCTGAGAGTGCTGAAAGGGTACAAGCAGGACCATACGATTCCCGTGCTTGTTGCTGAGTCTTAACGGCATCGTGCCCAACCAAGCCAACATCATTAACGAAGTTGGTGCGGGCCGCAGCCGCAGCCTTGAGATGTCTCAGCCGAGACACGCTTTTTAAAGGCGTGGCCTCTTGGGCCTTTTGGTTGATCTTGGTGCTGCTCGGCTGCAACGACCTCTGCAAAGCTGGGGCGGGCCGACACTTACAATGCCTGAGGTGCTTTGTGCTACTGGCATCCGTGACTCAGCATTGAGCATGGAAGACGCAGGGTCCTATTGCTGGAGTTGAGTGTAGATGACTGAGGTAACCATCATGTACATGCTGGTCGGGGTGCTCGTGGAGGTCATGACTGTCATCTCTGCCACTGAAAAGGAGGGTATGACAGTGTCTGCCGACAGCAGTAAGCCCGACCACCTTTCCTGGCTTTCTTTCGATCTGAGCCTAGATGATAGCTGCAAGCAGATAGCTTCAAGTGCATTGTGGCAAATCTCTGCCAGCTTGGGTGCGACTCAGTGGCAATTCTCTGCCAGCTTGGGTGCGACTCAGGTCTTATGTTGCCTCAACTCTACGACAGCTCATGCAGCAGCTCAATTACAGCACTGCTGCCTGGGCAGCACCAAGTCACCGAGCCATTTTGGAAGCATGTGCAGAAAAATATGGCCACATTGGTATTTTTTGGCAGAGTTTATGCCCAGTGATGCCGCGCAGACTTTTCTCGAAACCAAGACGGCAACAGCACATGTGCACATCATGCCGTGCTGATGCCTGGAGCATTTGCCTTGTCATCCGGTAGCATGAACACCGTATGTTGCCTGAACGGAGCTCGCACCACTTCTTTGACACTGCAAGCCGATCGGATTGGCATCGCCTCCTCTTCGTCTTCGACTAACTACATGAACCGCTTCTTTTTTTTAGGCATGCTTAACTTGTCTTCTACAAACAAGCTTCAGCACAGCCGCGAAGAATGACCTGCAGCCGCGACGAAGAAAGTATATGTTAGTGTCTTCACATGGTGCCTTCCGGAAACTAAGGTTGGATTGGGCTGTAGGATGTGTGAGGCACTTCTTTTTTCGATTTGCGTCCCACCTAAGATGCAGGTGTAGTACGTCGGGCCAGTTGTTGTGAAGCCCTGCCTGCCTTGTGTGAGAGTGAGTCAAAATTGCAGTTCCTTCAGGTTTTGCTCGAGATGTTCATGTTAGTGCCCGAGAGTGACGGTGACCGTCACTGTCGTGATACCAAGGAGGTGCCGCTATCCCAGCGTGAGTTCCAAGCTCTGTTGGTCGAGGAGGAGCATCCTGGACTGCAGGATTGAAAGTTAATCTAGAACGGAAAGGCGCCTTGCTCTTGTCTCGGTAGCCAGGCATTGGGCGAAAAGCAGCATTCATGAAGCATTTCGCGGCCAATCTCTGTAAGTGTGACTTTGTCGAGTTTGCTCAGAATCGCCTGGTCGTACATCAACGGACAGAGACGGAGTTTGTGACTGATGACGGCTGATGGTGACATTTGCCCGGAAGCCTGCTGTGCCCAGGGTGGACCGTCTCCTGAGCGGGATGGGGGTTGACGTCGGGGCGCTGCTTGGATGTGATATTTCCCTCATACTGGGACCTCCCTGGGGGATTGTCGAAAGTTGCCGCAACCCACCCGCCCAGGCTCGTGGATACGGCCGACGACAGGGGCTTATTGCGCAGGGTCTGGCTAACACTCCAGTAAACCCGGTCCGCTGATGAGCAGAGAACTCTGCTTTCAAGGTCATCTATGAGGACATGAACAAACTGGGAAAGAGCACCTTGAGCTGCACATGCGACTCCGACCAGGGCATTGGGAAAGGCTTGCGACTGTGCCAGGGAGGAATGTCAGAAAAGCCAATCTATAATGCGGTGTGCCGAGCACGCTTGCGCAAGATGCGTCTCCAAAGGCATGACCTTTGAGAACTTGGTCGACACGATTCTCAACCTTCGTGGCAAGAACACGGCCACGGTGAAGGCCTGGATGGCTTGGAATCTCGGTCCGATCGACTTGCGGAATCGTCAATCACAGCACCTGGACAGGATGTCAAGGAGCAAGCTCGTGTCATCAAGGCCTGTTGCTGAGCTGAGCATGTGGGGGCTGTCCTAAAACCGC